AAAATGATATTAATTGTGTAGTTATGTAAAAACAACAATGTATGCTGCAAAGGTAAACAGCTCAACCACTTATACTGCCGTCACTTCATCTAAACTTGAAACTGAAAATCTACGCAGAAATATAATGTACCGTTCAGATTGGACAATACTTACAGAGTGAAGTTTTTACTTGTGAAGATATAATGTTTCGTTTATCTTCACTGCATTAAATATATGTTTTTATTAAATAGAGAATTCATGATATTTTACAAGTAAACTGCAATCAATACCGATACGGTAGGGTTTACCAACATATTTTTGTAGACAGTATGCGGCCTTAATTTCCCAGAAGGCTTTCACGCATGGGGAAGCACCGGAAGTGGACAAAGTGTTTACAGATCAAACCCCGGCGGCGCTTTGCGCCGCTTGGGGGTTTGAAAAAAGGCATTGTAAAGCATCAACCAGTGCAATGGAAGAAATTTATCAAAACAATATTCTGAAGATATCCGGAACGTAATATCGATCTGTTTCAATTTTAGTTGGCATTTATGCAATCAGAGTTTTGTGCACGCTTTAATCGGACGTAGACTTGTAGAGCATGTACAAGACCATGACGAAAAACAAAACATGATGGCAGTGCTATTCGATAAACAGAAATCGTTGGCGTTGAACGGCGTGGATCTGAGCAGGAAAGGATCTATAGACGAGGAAATTGTCCCATTAGTTCAGCACATTAATAATCACGTTAACTTCTTTACAACAAGCAGCTGTTCTGGAAGAATAATTGTTTTTGATGATCATATTGTGAGTTGGTGTCTGGCTCTGTGATTGGATATATTTTTGTGTATTGTCTGCTGTTAGTGCTGGTCGTCTGCTAAATGATTCGATGTATCTGGCTGAAGTATACGTTATTGTACTCGCTGGACTATTTTATATGGAACTTGAACCTAATGTCCATGTAATATATTGTTAAAATGAAATTGCACTGAATAACACTAGTCCTCAAAGTGTACTCGAGAGCTCGTCAACATCACTGTCCTCAGTCATGGGAAATATAAAAACGATATGGTCATTTAATATAAGATAGCTAAAGGTCTCATTTCTTATCATAATTTTCTTGTAATATTCAATTTATTAAAAAGTAGAAGTCAGTCTAATACGAATTATGTGTTACTTACTTTGTAGTTTGGGCATAGAATGCAAATCTCTGCATCAAAACCGTTATGAAATAAGTAGTGTCCCAACAAATGTAAATAGATAAAATGAGAGTTTCAATTGTTCACATAAGAACATGGCAACTTTCCAGACACAGTCTGATGAACAGTATGGGTTTATTTAGTTTTAGAGTTTAAATCTAGCATAGGCTGTCAGTGTTGAGATCATAATATCAAAATTCTTGTAGTTTTCACGATATTAGGCTGAATTTCATTCAGACAAAATCAATTTCTAGTGTAATTGATAAATTGATGACAAATAAAATGTGAATAACTGAAAAATTTAATACCTTAATCTGTGAAACTTGTTATGCAAATGTTCATTTGGATCAGTTATGACTTTACTTTGCAAAATTGTGATCAATATTAATTTTGCTAAATTGCATATACATGTATAAATGTACAGAATGATATAAAAAATATGAAATTGTTATTAACAACAAATATTATTTCAATAAAATCAGATTTACTGCAATATATATGTATACCGTTTCATGTGTATTTTTCTTGAGGCAAGAAATTTGAAGTGTTTTTGTGATAAATTACTTTTAAATGCACTTGAGAGTAGCCACATTTGTGACAATTATATATAGATGTCTCCTTGATGATTACAAAGATATCAATGATGTATCAATCTGGAATGAAAACAAAATGAAAAGTTTAATTAGTTGGATATTTTCTTACTGTTTGTCACATATTTTAGACAGTTTAAACCATTTTGATCAACGAACAATAATTACTATAATAATTGATAACCTTCAATCTTGGAGAGAAAAACAATTGTTGATAGTTGATTACTTTTATATTACAAAGTCCAACATCTACATGTAGATGTTGTACAGCTTACAGTGACTTACCGTATAGTACATTGCAAAATTTCATCAAAATTGGATTAGTTAAAATGATATTGAGATAACCTATTTGTGATCCATGTTTGATACACTAATACAACTGTCTTAGCCAAAGGGGCTTTGTGCCCTTTTGTATATATGGCTTTTACATTGAAGTGTGTTTATCAATTGCAAGTTTGTCGCACAAAAGCTGCGTTAAGGACTTCCATATCATTGCCAAAAATTGTAACCATGATTTTTGCAGCAGGATGAAAATAGTTTTAATAATTATTTTTGAAAAGAAAAACTGATCTACCAAATAAGAGATAGTCCCCTGGCCCAGCCAGACTACAGATTATAGCCAAAGCAAAATGAAGGGGAGATAACTGTGTGTATAAAAACCTACAAGGGCATTCTATTGTTTTGACTTCAGTAGAACAGCTGGGATACTTTAATGCATATTTAGTATATTTAAGTAAATAGCTTACACTACAGTTAACAGGTAGTGATTATTCTATCTACGAAACAAATCTTAGTCATTGATTTTTTCTTTTTATCAGAGATTTGTCAAACAGCTGATTACGACAGGAAATATATATATTTTGTATTTCTATAACTTTCTTCGATATGTCATATTTGGTACAGAAATGGGAACGAATGTACATCAACTTTTGATGTTTGGTATTCTATCCTTGTTTGTTGTGTTGGCTTGTAGCATTATATTTTTGTACCAGAGAAATCAGAAGATAGTTAAAGTATCCAGGATTATATTACTTTTTTTTTAATTCCAGCGACAAGTACATTTTATATTATACAAGTTAGCGAGGATATTGCTTCATCCTATATGCTGTTTTATTATTAATGATAAAAAGTGTTAGACTGAATTGATAAAGCAATAAGTGAATTTTCATATAGAAAGATGACCTGACATTTATGAACTTCACAGCTTAATGTATTAGAAATTAACTACATGACTGACATAAGTCAACACAAGATAATAAATATTGCAACACTGTAGACAAGGAACAAGAATTCCAACAGGGCAGGCTTCATTTTAGAAATAATTCCATAAATAGAAGTTGTTTTAAAAAAAAATATGACATTTTATAGTGTACATCAAATTTTTAGGTCACCTGAGACAAAGTCTCAAGTGACCTATTGCGATCGCCTTTTGTCCGTCGTGCGTCCGTAAACAATTTACATTTTCGACTTCTCCAAAACCCGTGAACCAATTTCAATGTAATTTTGCAGGGACATTCCATGGACAAAGGTCAACAAAAAAAGTGGCCGGTTTAGTCCCAAGCTCCCAGGGGCCTGAGAGGTGGGGCCAAAAAGGGTCAAATTGACTAAAATTTCAAAAATCTTCTCAAGACCCAGATATGGTAGAATCAAATACTCTTCATAGATGGAAGGGTCTTAAGGTTTATGACCCTAGGGTCTCATGTTTACCCCCTGGGGAAGGAGGGGGGGGCAAAATTTATTATGGTTTATAATGGCAAATGATACTTTGAATATTACATGTTAATAACTTGATTGGAATTATAACCTTGAGTTGACAGTTTGATACTTTGAAAATTTTGAGCCAGTCCTACCCCCAAGGGCTGTAGGGTGGGGCTCAAAGGAGTCTGTGTGCTAAAATTTCTTCATTTTCCTTGTTTAGAATCAGAGGTGCTAGTTTCAAATGCTAGATACTGAAAAATGTGGTTTTATTGTTTTTTGTCACTTTGAATAATATTTCTGTTCATGTTAAAAACAAAATCAACTCTCTGTATAAATATATCAGGTGACCATTAAGGCCCATGGGCCTCTTGTTTAATATATTTATCAACTGTTCATATTTTGGAGATTGTATGAAATTTTATGTATTTTCATTATCACAATTTGCATGAAGTTATTAATATAACACACTTCCTCAGGTCCGTACCCCGCAATTTCATAGCGGGTCAGTGTAAAAATACAAATTAACATTTAATTGGCTAATTTTAGGATGAAGAAAGACCTGGTCTTAAAGTGAAGAAGAAAGGATGTAAATGGTTGTTTACCTCTCATAAAGCTGCTGATGCTGAACAAGTGGTGAGTTTTAGCTGTGGTTTTTGTTCATGGTAACAGAACAGTGAATCTGCAGGGTTTGATTACACTGGAGGTTAATTTATGTCGGAAAAATGTGTTGATCAAGTTAAGTTGTAAATAATGAATGTAATCATTACATGCACCAGTTATGTTTTTTGTTAGTATATGCTTAGTTTTGTTTCACAATGTGATGATAGACACAGGAAACCATTCTAAACAACATCATAGAATACTTTCTCAGTGTTGTGAAGTAAATTGTTAAGATATTATTGAAACATGTACAATAAAGTTTCTGCAAAAGTTACTGTTTTAATAATGATGTTTATAATTAGTTTTCTATTTTTGTACACCCATCAAAACTTTTGATGAATCTCCGCCATATTCATATGATACCAAATGAAATCAAAGTTAACTTTGAAGTTGAACAAAATGTGATAATGGAATTGGATGGGTGTATAATTAGTATATGTTCTACTTCTGTGGTAATTTGGTTATGTTTTATGATATTAAATATGCTGTATAAACGATGTCCAAACCTCTGGATGTTGAAGCTGTGTTTCTGGTATTGTTAAATCTTTTTGTATGGATGTATTATATTTGAAAAAAGAAAAGAAAAAAAAGGGGGGTGTACAGTGGCCAAGTGGTTAAGGCGTCAGCTCATCTACGATCACTAGCCTTTCATCACAGGGTCTCGGGTTTGAGGCCTAGGTCGGGCATGCGCAGTTGCAAGGTACTCGCCACATGTTATTTGAGGGTTTTTTGAGCACTTTTGTTTTCCTCCACCAAAAACCTGGCACATTCTACATTTTATCTGAAGTCTTATCCAGGAATTGTAAAATTAATGCACAGTACAGTAATAAATATATAGCACTATAACGGAACTCTTTTGTAGGATTTTAACTTGTGCAGTGGTACACTTCATCTTGATATCAGCTGATTACTCAATGATCAAGGTGGTAGTTAAGATAAAATTCTTATATACAAAAAGTGAATTGATTGTAGCAAGTATAAATCCTTTATTTAATTTACAGATAGAATCTCTGAAAGACCTAAATGGTGATGCTGTGTTCAAGTTTGAACCCTTTGTTCTACATGTCCAGTGCAGGAACACAGAATATGCACAAAGAACGGTGAGACTATTAAATGTCTGTCATTTCTTACTTGTTTACAGAAGTTATTCTAGAGCATAAGCAGCCATGACAATCCAATATATAATAAGCAAACTTTTTAGCTCACCGGGTCCAAAGGACCAGGGTGAGCTTATGCCATACCGTGGCGTCCGTCGTCCGCCCGTCAACAAATTCTTTAAACGACTTCTTCTTCTTCTTAACCCCTGATTGGAATTTAACTAAATTTGACTGGAAGCATCCCTAGGTGGTGATTCAAAATTGTACAAATGGTGGGGCTGACCCCTAGGGGACTGAGGGGCAGGGCAAAAAAGGGGCAATTTAAAATTTGGCTATATTGCTTTATGCAACTTCTTCTCTGGAACTAAGTGATNATGCCAAAAAAAGTGTATTACTTGGAAATGGTTGAGATCCCCACCATATAAAGAGAAGAATGCACATTTGCTTCCAGGATGGCCCTAGGATCTGGCCCCACTCTTGGAGACTTAGTCCCTGGGCCATAAATTTAAAACGGTTGAGATCCCACCCCAAAACTATATATACAAATGCTGGGCATAAAGAGACGAATGCAGTCATGATATCAGAATAGACCCTGGGGTCTGACCGAACCCCCAGGGACCTAGTTTCATAGTCACAGCTTGGAAACAGTTGAGAGCCCCACCATATAACCATACATGGAATTGCTGAGTATAAAGAGAAGATTGCATGTTTGCTTTCAGGATGGCCCTATGGTCTGGCCCCACTCTTGGAGACATAGTCCCTGGACCATAACTTTAAAACAGTTGAGATCCCCACCCCAAAACTATATATATATATATATATATATATACAATTGTTGGGCATAAAGAGACGAATGCAGTCATGATTTTAGAATCGACCCAAGGGTCTTCCGCACCCTTGCAGACATAACCCCTGGGTCATAACTTTGAAACCGTTGAGATCCCCACCCCAAAACTATATATACAAATACTGGGCAAAAAGAGACAAATGCAGTCATGATATTAGAATTGATCCTGGGGTCTGGCCACAACCTTTGGGACCTACTTTCTGAGTCACAGCTTGGAAACAGTTGAGATCCCCACCCCATAACCATGCATAAAAATGTTGGGCATGAACAATCTAATGCAGATATGCTACAAGGATTGGCCTTTGGGTCTGGCACATTTCCGTGGATCTCATTTGGAGAATCTTTTGCCATGATTGCTAAGGTATCCAGGTGAGCAATACAGGCCCTCTGGGCCTCTTGATAGCATTGTATTTTTGTATGCATCACTAGCTGTGATATTGATATCACGGATGAAATGAAGAAAAGAATTTTGGTTGTACCACATCCATTAACACTTTACAAAATCTAGATAATGTGCTTCATACCTTCTGACATACCACATGAATAGTCATTTGTCAAAGTTTAATAAACTTTCGTGGTACTGCCTGGTGTCTTCTGTCCATTGTACATCCATTATCCATTCATCCATCCTATTTCTCAGTTATCTCAAATTTCAAATGAAGGTTCCCCTTGGTAGCGCTGTGCATTTTTCTTTTTCATTTTTGTGACTATTTTGTATTGAGCTTCAAAAAAAAATTAAAGGTCAATTTTTTTATTGCTATACCTCAATAAGTAATCTACAGACCTTTCACAGGTAGGTTCCCCTTGATCCTTAGTTCTGCTGCCAGGCAGGCATCTGGAATTTGGACAAGTCAAGTTTGTTATTGCTTTATCTGAAGAAGTACTTTACAGATCTTTTATTTTATTTCATATGTCCATTTCCTTGGTATAATTTTATCAGAAGAAAAATATGGCTGTCAGGAAACAGAAATCCCTCTTGTTCACGATACTATTTTAGTTAATAGGTCAAATGACAAGCTAACTTTGAAAGAACATTGTCAAACCCAGGAATTACATCAGGACCCATGGGCCATATCAATGGGGCAATACTCAGGGTGGAAACTTGGGTAATAAGTGGCATTCTGGTTTGATTGTCTTCTTATGAAGTTCTATGACACAACTTTTGACAGTTAGAATACAGCATAGCCTATGTCTAGGATGCATTTGTGTCATTTTGATGAATTTTACTTAAAAAAGTCTTCTTTAATAAATGTCAACTACAGAAATAAACAACTGAAATATTCTAATGTTACAGCTTTTTTCATTGTTTCTAGCTATAACCGTCACTAGTATTCCACAAAATCACATTTTCCTCTCATTTACATGGAGCAGTTAATATGAATGGTATTGCTGTGAAATAGTTCTCAGGGCTATTATTGTGAATATATATATTCTGTTCTATGCGCATGAATTATATACTGTTATTATACATTGGTAGCTTGCTATCTTTTGTGTTTAACAAGACATATTTTCATTAATCCCAAAACGTATTTCACTAATTAAAGTAAAATTAAGTACATTCCAAAATTACTTATAATTGACACTACTTCTTATAAAAAAATGATATTTTCCGAATTTGAAATTTACAGCTGTGCTGTGCAGTGGCTTCAGGGTTCAGGAACTCTGGGATAAGTCTCGGCAACAAGGGGAAAATTATAGTGGTAAGTTCAAACCATGCTACTGTAATTAATTTGTATACAAATATCTTACTGTTCGTGTCTAAAATTGGTTTATGATCGGAGTGTATATGTTTAACATCTCTCAACAAGTGTAATAAACACAGCTGTAGTAATGAAACTATTTTGCTTTATCCCTAATGTGATGAGATTTAAATCATTTCAGTTGATTAATGCAATGTGACTGATAACCTCTACGTTCACGTAGACCAGAACAAATTTCATTCTGCATCATAAATGTAATTCACAATGTATGTTCTTGTTAAAAGTAGAAATCATACGCAAAATATTTCATTCCTGACCTTATATACATTTTATGTCATAAAAAGGTTCCCCAACTCAGTAAACCTTATTGCTAGGTCACCAAGTCACTAAGGTCAATTATTGTGACTGCCTTTTGTCTATCGCCATTTGTCATCTGTTTTTTTGGGGGGGGTTTTCATCAAACCTGTCAGACTTTAATGGACTTTGATCGAAATCATTATAATGTTTATGATCAAAAGTTACCCTAATTTTTATACATGCATGTTTATTAAGACTGAATTATTTTTTTGAATTTCGGCTTAAAATTGATCAATCTGTATATTTAAATGGGATAGCAAGATTTTACTTATAATATATTACCTTTAATGATGGCACAGCAACTAAGATGTCTAAACATTCAGGCCATATGCGATTGCATCCTGCTTTCATTCAGAAAACCAATGTGTACCTTTTTGATGTTTTCAGGGAGTGAGAAGTACACATGGACTTGAAGCACCTCTCTCTAAGGATGGCAATCTCTTGGTCTCCATGGAGGTCAGTAGTTTTATCAAAATACTTCCTATTTTTTTTATTTATTTTTTACATTCTTACATCTTGCCTGTTTTAAAATAACATGACTACATTTGTATTATCACTGAAATGATGTCACCAAAATCTTAAAATAATCACCTTGATAAAAGAAAAACTGTATTAATTTGAGAAAATCTGATAATAATGCCAATACATGTGCATGTATTATAGTGATTAAAGTCTTATTAAAAGCATATCAAAGTGAACTATCATCCAGTAGATTTTTTTCTGATGTAAAAGTTTGAAAATCATCATTTATAGGATTACATTTTGTGATATCTAGCCGTCTACTCATTATATGTGTTTCACAAGATATTTACTCTGACATCTTAATGGATTTCTAAGACATACCGTACTGATATATGATTTTTCACTTAAAACAGTCTCTGCTTTCTAGTTTCCTTAATGTAATGTTTAGTAACATCTTCTGCAGTTTTAACAACATTTACAGCTGACATGTGGGTTTTTTTCAGTTCATTAAATTTTTGACAAAGTCAGCAAATAAGAAATTGGAGGAAAATTTTCTGAGGATCCAGAAGTAAGTAGAATTTCATCACCTCTACATTTTATCATAGATTTTAGACTTCTGTTGTAAAAGTTCATTAGTTTTGTTAGGAGATCAGCGAAAGGGTCCAAACAACTTTATGTTATACACAGATATTATAATTAAGTAATATTTTAAGACTGCTGATCTCTACCATGAAAAATATATTCTTAATCTGCCAAGACTTGTGTGGAGTATTGAGTTACTCCCCCTTGAACACTTTAAAGTTGGACAATAACTGGCTATTTTTGATAAGTAAATAAAAAAGCATAACGAAATTATATGTTGGTGTTTCATAACTTTTCCATATTTGAAATATTCAAAAAACAAGATAAATGAATAATGAGACAAGATTACAATAAAATAAAGGAGGTACTTAAGTATATGCCTAACTGATGTACCATATAAAGAAGAGTTATGTCCCTTATATGATGTATAGTTTCTTAAAACTGGCAAACTATTTGTAAAGCAATTAATGTTATAAAAGAATATGAAGAACAATAACATTCCTAGCAATTTCAACAGCTTAATTGGTGTCATTCCTTTGTTTTAGATTCTTTGAAAGCATGAAGAAAATCGATTTTATGGAGAATAAGCTTGCTAGAAGGGAGAGGAAAAGGAAGGATAAAAAATCATTCGGAGACAATGAGGTTGAGTCTGTTAGGGGTGTAAAGGGTGGTACTAGAGGTGATCTAGATTTACATGTTAGACAATACTCTCCTGGAAAAATTGGTGTCACAAGTGTTGGAACAGCAAAGGATAACATTGCAAGGGGTAGTTGTGAGGCTGTAGATGGATCTGATGAAGACAGTAGCAGTGGAACTCCAGTCAATGAGGATACATCTACCAGTATAGGTAGTGATGTGCTTGATGAGGAGAGGTTTAGTCAAGGTGGACAGACCAGCCCTCCCCGAGAGTGCCAAGACAAAGAGGACAGAACCACAGGTAGAAAAACCAGCCCTTACCAAAAGAATATGGACAAAAAGGACAGAACCACAGATGGACAAGCAAGCCCTAGTCCAGAGTGCCAAGACAAAGAGGACAGAACCACAATTGACATTGAAAAGTGTTTCCTATCAAAGGATGTCACCTGATGAAATGAAGGGCTGAAATATTTACAATGCTGCCCCAGATTCAAAGCTGTGATTAGATTGTCACTCCAAGATACTAATCAGATTCTTGGAACCATTAGGTCTGTGATACAATGATTTATCATTAAAGTAGTCTATTGATACAGGAGAAAGGTCAGTCATATTACATGTATAGAGGCAGAACATTTCTTATTGAGGTGTCTTTGAAGCCATGATTAAAAATTAGGTAGAACAGTCTCCATGTGCTGTTTAGATATTTTTATCTTCAAAACGATTCACTTTTTCCTTTATTAAACAACTTTGTTAATTTCTATTTAATCTTTTATGTATTCTTAATATATGTGCAGGTGAGGAACTTTTGCATAGTTACAAATGTAAACTTTATTAATTTTGCGACAATTATGAAACAAGTTTTCCAACTCTTACTAATGGCCTTTGTACTTTGTATCTATGTGTTTTTGTATGTAAAGAGGAGCTCACTGCTAGTATCTTGTGTGAACTGGGAAATCACATACAGTGTGTGCATCTAGCCTTGTTATAAAAAACAAGCTTTGCATGTAAAGTGTTGGAAGATTTTTTAAATTATCAAGAGTACATATTCACTAATATCTATAGGTACCTGTGTAAGTTAATCCTGATTTATAAGAGCTAAGTTCACGGGTGCCTTCGAAGCTCTTTACCGGTTATATGTACGTGTACATAGATCTGATCCAACCAAACTGATTCCATCAATGAATCGTACAGATACAGCCTAGAAACTTTTCGTACTTCCGATTTCATGGAGCCCATACATATGCCTAATCGAATAATAGAGCGACATATAATGTAGCACAGAAATTATGTATTCGAAACTACGATTTTTTCAAAAAATATTGACCATATTCAGAACACTGAGCGAGTTTATTACCACGATTTCTTTACTTTTCTTCCGAATGAAGAAAATGAGTTAGCATGGTCATCAAAAAGCTTACATTAATGTAGTCTCATTCAACCAGACTCTTATTGTCTGCGGTTGAACGAAACAAAAAATAATGTCACAAACACATAGCGTCTAAGGGTGCATAATAATGTGATTATATTGTAAATTTGGGAAAGCAATAAATAATGTGATACTAACATCTTTCTTAACATACAATTTTCCGTCCGTACATATTCCGTCTTTGCGTATTGCAGAGTTATCTTCTCTTGGGAGCAGGTATTGATTGTTACGTCACTTGTTTGTGAGAGTAACGTCATCAATTTTAGAGAAAACGACGTAATTTTCTCGCACAAACCAATGACGTAACAATCAATACCTGCTCCCAAGAGAAGATAACTCTGCAATACGCAAAGACGGAATATGTACGGACGGAAANCGACCGTTACACACGGAGGTCATCCCCCACTAGGACGGAAATACCCGAGTTTGTACGAAGCAGGGTCACGGAAGAGGTCGCTTGATTCTCATTGGATAATTAAAAGGTCAGATCATTGACGAGGTCAAATTTCACGGGTCGTCTGCTGCAGTTGTACACAGATACACATGTGCAAAGGAATCACCGGCAGCTTTCAACGGGAAACGTAAGGTTTTTCAGAGGGTCATTACTTGCTCTGCTTTAAGAAAACATTAAGGAAGACTTAGACACATACCATTTTCACCACTTTTACTTTGTGTTTAACAGAATGCATAATATGCGTCCATCAGCAACCATTTCTATTGAAAATCAAAACTATCCTGCATATGATGTACCTGGTGATGGCAACTGTTTTTTCCACTGTCGAAGTTTATCATTCAATAATGACTTCTCAAATACTGACAATTTCAGAAAGCAAATTTGTACAGAAATCTACCAAAACTGGGATACATGGGCAAATGAACTTGCTTTAGCACATTACCCCCTCTATTACAAAATCCAATTACTGGAGGGGAATGGTACAAAATGTAGGTTGGGCAACAGTTTGTGAAATCAAAGCTACGGCTTACTGTTTAGGACTGGACATAAATGTGTGGTTGAAAGGGCAAAATATACAGAAGGAGACCATATTTATTTTGTCACATTACAGCACCTCAAATCAAGGTAGGAATTGAAGGGGCCTTCAAATTCAGTGGACCTTTTAGCAGAAAATGCTCACTTCAAACTCTTGATTCCCCAATACAAAGGAACATCTGATTATACATATACAGCCAGTTTCAGTGGGAAAACTCCAAGCAAATCATCCTCAATTTCACATGCTTCTGTTGATCACAGCTACCATGCCATTGATAACAACCACCATGTAACATCAGGAGAGACAACTCCCCCTCAAAATGTTCATTTAAACACATCCCCATTTCTTCCATCCAGCAAACCAAAATAAATTTTAATGAAAATGTTGGGAAGGCAACTGCAAGATCATTACATGCATCAAGTCTTCCAGCTAAATGTCTCCACACTTAACAACCAAAACCTCACAAAATGACAAATATATACATTCATTAGCTACTGATTGTGAAAATGAAAGTAATGTTGGAATCGGAAAAAGAAAAGCAACAAAGAAATCATCAAATGTACCAAAACCCCACATATGCACAGCCATTCCAAATTCAAATACAACATTTCCAGAACGTATGAACTCGAACACACTCAGATCTGAAAAGTTAATTCAATCACAGTGTAGAAAATTGGACTTGTCTTTGAACATGCCGATGAAAATGAGAGTACAAGAGAAACAAAAAACAGACATCGCAGAATGCAATACAAAATAAAAACACAACAAAACAAAATTTCAGATAATGCTATCATTGAAGAAAACATTCCTTCTGCTCCTCCTCTCACAAAAGACAATCAATTCAACACGTTCATGGATTCAGTTTGGCCTTTTTAAGTGAAGCAAATGTCCTACAAAATACATACTTGTTGTGCTTGTCATGAAAAAAGGATTGACATGAACATTTCTGATAATGGTCATGTAAACGTTGTTCTATTGATCGATCTACCATAAAGATGTTTTCCATACAAAACAATATGTATCCACAAAAACAACCAGAAGAGTTATCAGGATTGACAATATTAGAACAACAATTGATATGCAGAAAATCTTCATGCAAAAATGTCCACATGCTCAAACATGGGGGCATAGCTTCAAGTGGCCACTGTGTGACGTTTCCCCAAGAGGTTAATGAGCCAGCTATCATATTCCCCAGGTTGCCACAAGAAATAAAAATTATCAGGATAAGAAAGCAAGGTAAAAATGAAACATCAAATGATTTTCGAGTTCGTCGATATAAAATTCAAAAAGCACTGACCTGGTTGAAAAGGAACAATCCTGCCTACACTGACATCATCATATCTGATGAAAGGCTCAGTACATTACCATTAGATAGTGAAATCGAAGACATGGAAAATGTTGAATTCCTGCCAACCACAGAACATGCAGATCATAAGGGTCCTTCAGAAGACCAAATCAACCAAGGGGAAGATTTTGATGGTGACTACATCTCAAGTGTACTGCTACCTGAACCTGTTGTGGATATACATAAAAAGTAGACAAAATAATTGAGAATGCTTTAAACAAAGACAACAGTAGTGATATTCCTTTATTAAGAATTTACAACAACCCTTTTTCACACTTGCTTTTCCTACACTTTTTCCTTTTGGTGCTGGAGACTTGTGAATCACTGGCTGAATGGGCAGACCATTCATTGTGGATAGACGATGGACGATTCGTACATCACAGTACTTTAAATTTGTTGTTCACAACATGATCATGGGAAAACGGGCGCTTGAAAGGGGGAATTTTGTCTTCAAACAACAACTTGGTGATGGTCACCTTACTTTGGATCAGCTGAAACAACAAATACAAAAAGGAGATACCATCATTGCAAACAAACTTCTATATTTTGGAGCCTCTTTGCGGGGAAGCAACCAATACTGGGCGGAAAGGGGTAATGCATTACGCTCTCTTATCAAATATAAGATAAATGAAGGAAGTGGTTTACCACAGGCAGCTGTGCTGAATTCCATTATCCATCTTTTAGAAGACTCCTGTCAATATATGTAAGGGAAACAACTGGACAGGAACCTGATTTAACAAACAGAAACACAGTATTCAGAGTTTTACAAGAAAAATACACATGTTATCGCTCATTACTTTGACCTGCGAACTCAGTCTTACTTTCAAGATGTTATGTCTCCTGTTTTTGGGATCAATGCATATTGGTATCGCCAAGAATTTGCCAAAACCAGAGGCATGGTTCATTGGCATGGCCTTTGCTGGATGTCTGACAAACAGCCACATGCACCGATTCATGAAGCGCTTGAAAGAGGTTTGACTGATGATGAGTGTGCTGAAGAATTGGCAATTTGGGCAGCTAACCAATTTGGAATGACTGCTTCACATCCAGCAGGCAAAAATCACAATGGAGAATAAAAGAAAAACCTATGGCCACCTCCAGAAGGAACTGCACTAGCACCACCAGAGCAAGACAATCCTCTTCAGAAACATTTAATGGATGTACATGTAAGTTCAACAAAAGAATCATTGATTGAACACTATATTCTCCTAAACAACAGGGTCAATTTACACCGTTGTTCTGAAACATACTGCCTCAAACAGACACAAAAAAAAGAAACAAAAAACTGTGTAGGATGGAATTCCCCAAACCTCTTCGTTCAGTTCCGGCTATTGTAAATGACAAAAACAATTCTCTCCGTTTAGAAATGTCAAGGGATCATCCAGTTCTGCTTCGAAATTTACGCTTTCACACTCAAGGATGGAGAGCCAATGGAGATGTATCACTAATTCTTTCCAAAAGCAATTCACAGAATCTTTCCGTGAATGAAATTATTGCCACAGAACGATACATCACTAGATATGCATGCAGGGGCAACCAACCAACTGGCGCTATAGTAGGTGCTGATGAATCAACCGGTGCATCAGCTAAATCCCTCTGCACGAAATTTATGATGAACACCGTCAAAGGGGACATTTCTGCAGTTGAAGCGTCCTTTGCGTTATCATCACATCCACTATATCGCTGCAGTCACACCTTATAGTCTGTTGGTTTGTCAGGTGCTAGAGTACTAGAAAACGGGGGTGCAATACTCACAAAAAATACAGCTTTGGACAGGTATCTATCCTGGAATGAAACTAATCAGAGCTCTCTGTACAATTTTGTGTGCCACTCAGGAAAAGTTCCGGTCATTTCTGGAGCCAGTAGTCTACCTTCCTGGCCCCTTGATGAAAACTACTGCAGGACAATGCTCCTTCTACATTTTCCAAACTGGAGAAAAATCTCAGATATCAAGGATCAGGATACATCATGGACTGACAAATTCAATATTTATTTCAAACAGCGATCTGTCCAAACTTTGTCAAAGCTGAAGTGGAAAGGACAAAAAAACATGACACTCATGAAATTGAGGAGGATTTTGAAGTTGAAGAGTCTCATGAGAATGATGAAGAACAGCCAGAATAGATGGACGCTCTTCGACCAACTGCATGCTATGATGCAGTCCCATCCGAATTCCAGTATGATGATGGTTGGCCGGGATACAACTGGAATCAAAGAGCATTGTTCCAACAAGATGTAGGAAAGTCATGGATTGAGCACATCAAAGAAAATAGCAATGAGCCAACCAATGTTCTTGATGTTCCAAACGTGATTGAAGATCAGAGGCTTGCATTCAATATTGTAATGGATACTCTACATCGATACATAGATGAAGATAATGCCTTTAAGCCTTTAAGGATGGTTGTATCTTGTACTGCAGGTTCCGAAAAGTCATACCTGATAAAATGTTAAGTGAAGGGTATAAGAAATCTCTTCAAGACAAACAAAGCAGTACAAATACCCTGTCCTACTGAAAGTAGTGCTAACCTCATTTCTGGTGTAACTTTGCACAGCTTTTTGAAAATACCAATACATCATAAGGGTAAAGAGATGAAACAGCCAGATGGGAAGATTGGGAAACTACTACAAGAAAAATGTAGAGGTGTAGAAGTCCTACTTGTGGATGAAAGATCCTTAATAGGTGCCACTACCTTAGGATGGATGGAGTTCATATGCCGGTGTGCCATGTATTCAGGATCTAAATCTCAAGAGACTTGGGGTGGTCTCCCAGTTGTCGTGTTTTTAGGTGACGATGTACAGCTTCCACCTGTGTTAGACTCC